AGCGAGTGAAAGTCGATGTTGGTAATGGGGTAGAATGATCAGAGTGTGTGTGTGTGGCCCGATAGGGGTCGGTAGGTGGACGATGGTCACCAAGGGTTGGTGACGAACGTGAATAAAAATGGTTTGCGTGCGTGGCCTGGTAGAGGTCGAGAGGTAGCCAATGGTCGCCGATGTTGGCGACAGGAGAGAATGAAAGGGGTGTGTGTGTGGCCTGTTAGGTGTCGAGTGGTGGTTAATGGTCGCCGATGTCGGTGACGGGAGAGAATGATCAGAGTGTGTGTGCGTGGCCTGGTATAGGTCGAGAGGTGGTTAATGGTCGCTGATGCTGGTGACGGGAGAGAATGATCAGAGTGTGTGTGTGTGGCCTGGTATAGGTCAAGAGGTGGTTAATGGTCGCCGATGCTGTGACGGGAGAGAATGATCAGAGTGTGTGTGCGTGGCTTGGTATAGGTCGAGAGGTGGTTAATGGTCGTTGATGCTGGTGACGGGAGAGAATGATCAGAGTGTGTGTGCATGGTCTGGTATAGGTCGAGAGGTGGTTAATGGTCGCTAATGCTGGTGACGGGAGAGAATGATCAGAGTATGTGTGTGTGGCCTGGTATAGGTTGAGAGGTGGCTAATGGTCGCCAATGTTGGTGACGGGAGAGAATCATCAGTGTGTGTGTGTGTGGCCTGGTATAGGTCGAGAAGTGGCGAATGGTCACCAATGTTGGTGACGGGAGAGAATAATTAGAGTGTGTGTGTGCGGCTCGATAAGGGTCGGTAGGTGGATGATGGTCGCCGATGTTGGTGACAAAAATGAAGGAAAATAGTGTGCATGCGTGGCCCATTAGGGATCGATAGGTGGTTAATGGTCGCCAATCTTGGTGGTGGGTGGTATCACTGGCACGCCTGGGGTGCCGTCAGGGAACAAAAACCCTAGGTAGGTGACATTGTGGGATACAGGGGGGGACTGGGGTTCGGTACTGAACTGTTGGTAGGAACTTAGGGTTTATATTGTTACATCTAATACCTGTATTTTGATTTGTACCGTACTGAGTTAAATGGACTCACTTTTTTCTCTTTACAGATGATGTAGGGACAGAGTCCGGATCGAAGTTGTTGGTATCCGAACCTAGTGTGTAGAATAATAGGATAAAGATTTTCGTTTCTTTTGACCGAATAGAATGTGTAAATTGATGGTAGCATAGACATTAAGTACGGTTGTATTGTGTGCGATGCCTTGTGCATGATTGTAGATTTACCTTGATCATTCAATAAGGGATTGTGATGGTATTTCCTTGTGC